CACAGGTGCACAAACTAAGAGTCACAAGTTATAATACTTCACGCATTGGGTGGCCAGTAAGTGAATTCACTATAGCCTGTGCAAAGGGAATTAAACCATTGTTTGTAACATTCGGTAATGGGCTCAAATATTTTATAGCACCTTGACCTGTAAATTTGAGAATCACAAACAGCCTGTGGCAAGGTATTCAGAGGGATTGAGCACAACTCTCCTTCATTCTCAGCAGGAATCAGTGGTGGTCACAAGAGATCACAATCTAGGCAGGAATACCTGACCTGGATTTATATGTATTCTCCCTAGAAATTACAAGGCCTACCGCTTCAGCTAATTCCTGCTGCTTCTCTTTCTGTTGGGCCTTTCATCATCAAGGTTGAATAATTAAAAAAAATAAAAATCCAATTAGTCTTTCAATCACTTAAATTCATTTTAACTTCTTTGTTACTCTCACATCTGATACACCTATGATCCTTCTGACCCCTCTACAGTTCTGCCACTGAAAGATACTCTTTTCAGAGAATACAAGAGAAAAAAGCCAAAGGGAAACATCAACGCATTACTAGTTCCTTTGTTTTTCTGTCACACCACTCGTACATATTTGTATTGCTGACCAACAAACAGCATCTCTTATCAGGCAGGAGCCAGGATCACCTATTTCAGAGTTTGGTAAATATCATCAGAACACCTGTATTCAAAACCAGAACTGATAAAGGCAGCAAATTAAATCAAACGTTTCTCTAGGTTCATGAGAAAAAACTGGAATTGGAAAGTTTATATCTATTTAACTACGAGTTTCAATGTTTTATGACTGTTTTATTAGTCCTTATTTCACGGTGATGAAAGTGCATATGCTCTTCTTCATTTTAGTGGTTAATAGATAGTTCGCTTTCAATTTTATTGAAATTTTCAACTTTCAATAGTTTTCTTTGCAAGCAATGGCAAGCTGATTGCTGAGCTGAACTTCAAGCTCCAACGTGGCTGATGACTCCAGCATTTTCATAGAGTGAGGTGCCAAAAGAATCATCTACAGGCTACAAACCAAACTTGTGCCTAAGTCACTAATCTGTTCCCCAGTTACAGGCTGGTTCTAATAAAAGTTAAGGCTAAATTCCTGGCATTCTTGGACATTTGCTATTAATTTGCATTAAAATGTGTTTTCACTTTGAATTTCACACCTCAGAGCCCCATTAAAAGCAGAATATGCTACTGAAAGAAATCCCATAAAGATAGTAAAACCCCGTAAGAAGGCACCCTGCATTTTGTTTCAGCTACGGGCAAAAGAAGTAGACTTCACTGGGGTGAAGTCTGCATGGACTAGGAATGATGATTAAGATCTGAACAGAGGATTTGTATTTAATAGGCCCTGTGATGAGAGCCTAATATCTTCAAGCCAAAGCTTATAAGAATTTTGCATTTAGTATTCATTTTACTTTTGCCTACATTCATTCTACACATTACCTATATAGATTTTATTTTTCTTTTCTTCTATTTTTCAAAGTTCAGCTAAAAAATAAAATCTCTATAGCAAGAAAGCCAAGTTTTGCCATCACTGATTAACCAAAATCCCTCAAGCATTTAAGCAAATTTATTAATTTCTGAAGGCTTATCAGTTTACAGCATAGTATTTCTTCTACATATGGGTTTTCAAACTTTATCTTGGGGTTTTAAACTAGCAGGCTACTAGTGAGATCTACAGATTTAGGATCTTAAAAGGCTGCATTTTTAAAGATGCTAACTTTTGTTTGCTTGTAACACTCAGATTGACAATGGAAATAAGTGCACAGTGCTTTAAGAGCACAAGCCCCCACTATTACATATCATAAGATGTATTTACTGCTCCTGTGTGAGATACTACAGGTAAACTGGCATTAAAGACTGAAAGATTTTATTTTTTAAAGATTATTCAAAAGAACCACCATTGACCTAGTAAGTGGTAATGTAATAAAATTGTAAGAAAATCACTTCAATTAGCTCAATTTTAAAGGAATAAATATTTCAGAACAGATTTTAGACTTAGAATTTCAAGCTTATTTATTTTCACATTCTGTTAAAACTTTTCTGATTGTTTAAAAAACATAAAGCAAAGTGAGTGATCCTTATGAAAAAAATCAGCTTTCATTCAACATTAGCTGAGAAAAAATCCCAACAAATGTAACTTCTCTTTAAATGAAAAGTAATGAATGCATTTTATATCTATTTTTATTGTAGGACTATGAGTCCTAGCTTTAAGGCATTCATTGACATATTTCTGTAAGGCTGTTCAGATAATCAGCCTTGGATGAACAAAGCATGTTCTGCCAGACTTGCTGTGATGATTTTCTTGTAATAGAGCTGTGCGACATGAAGGATCTCAGCTGCTCTTCTCATTAATCAAATCCTAACTCACGCTGTGTAAGTGCCATTATGAAGAGAAGCACATGATACTAACCCACACACAGAATCAAATAATCTGAATTCTTCAGCTGTGTGAACTTCCCTGGGTGAATGGAAGATATACATAAGACTTAGCCAGCCCCTAGAGAAGTGTGCCATAGTGTGGCACGTAGTGTGCCATAACCTTCACATCACAGATAAAACCATAGAAAACGCAGAAACCATTGCCTTAGCCTGATCAACCATTTTCCATGATCCCTGTGAAAAGGACTTCTGCAGAGTACTACACACCCCACCAGTCATTATCCTTTCATGTGGGCTTACCTAGGAAAAAGTAGCTGGAAACAGGACAACATGGTATCACTGCTCCAGAACCTTCTGAAAAAAAAAGATTTTTCTGAGGAATAAGGTTTCCTTTGTAAAGGAGTATGAGCAAGCTCAACCAGCTACTCTCAGCAGGTTTTTCTGTACAGCATGCCAAAGTCTAAAGGTAACAACAACAAAAAAAATATTAAGAGGCATTCTGCAGTAAGCAGAGTACTTGGAAAGCATCTTTACCCAGTTTTCAGGGTTTGGTTTTATGGTGTACTTGTTTTGATTTGATTTAGGTTTTTTGTATGAGTATTTTGTGTTTGGTTTGGGTTTTTGGGGGGAGTTTTTTGTTTGTTTGTTTTTTTTAATAGCAGAATTACACAGACTGTAGGTCTGAAGAGGGTTCCTGAGTTCACTTATGTCTTACTGTATATACTATATAACACAAGTTACTTTCTTGAGAAATGTCTAGATGTGTTCAGACTGTCAGGTAACACACTTGAAAGCAATAGGTATGTGTTTGTTTTTGTAAGCAGCACCAATTCTCAGTAAGAAAGCAAAGAGCAAGGAGTGAATAAATAGGGCAAGTATCTCACCCAACCAAGTAGACAAAAACAGAAAGAAGCAGCATTCTGTGCTTAGTGAGGGTCTTCCCTTTTATAAAAACAAAACCAAAACACTGAGTTGTGGAGCTAGACAGACTGAAAATTAAAAATTGTATGCTGATGGTCCCTCTGTACCTACTGAATAATGTAGAAATCTAGCGCAGCAGAGAAGCCATTCCAGCATCTTTAAGAATATTTTCAGGTTATTCATCATGAACACCAGCATCAAATGCAAAAGTGCTTACTGGAAGTGAAGCCCTATCACCTTCTGGGCTTCTTTTTGGTGCTGTCAAGAACGGAGCTTTCTATCATTTGAACTGAAAGGATAACCTAAAATACAAGCCGTAAGATTTCACATGTAATGTATGTCATGTGGCATTACTTTACAGGAAACTATCTCTGAATCACTGAGTATTGCTAAGAAGTTGCCACTATTCCTCCTTTATCCTCTAAACTGATCTTCCTTTCCATGCTCCTGCTCACCAAGTGCAATTGCCTAACCACTTTATTTTGTACTGCCATATTGTGATGAATCTGATAGTCTGCCAGTAAGTAGGACTGCTAATTTTCAACTGCAACCCCCACCCCCAGCATTTCTTACGATTTGTCATTTTGATCTATTTCTCTTATTTGCCAAGCATAAAACAAAGACCAAAACTAGATAACTAGATGCAGGCAATTTTCACAGTTCCCTCCAACAGAATATCAGGAAGTCATGACGCTTTTTCTGAGTTCTTACATACCTAGGACACATGATTTGGGTTTGTTTGGGTTTTTTTTTTTAAGCAAAAACTATTATCCAAACAATTAATTTGAATGAAGATTTTTTTTTTAAATTGAAACAGTCATTGTAAGGTCATCTGCAGAGAATCCTGATGAAAGATCATAGAGGTTTTAAGTATGTATCTTTACAGAGGATATGACCAGGGAAATTGGATGCAAAGACTACAGTTATTTTCTTGACTGAAATCTAGACCAGGAAGGGAAAATTTGAATTTACTAGTTTAACTATTTCTGCTACATAACCACCATATGACGACACTTACTAAACAGCAAAGTCTGTTTATACATACTGAAAAACATTTATAATACCTGAAGCAATACAAGTAAAGGGGAAATCTCTTGCTATCTATTTTTAAGCAAATTGTTAGGAATAAGCCTTTCTAGAAACCCTTTTCATAGAATCATAGAATAGTATGCTGTAGCGTGTATGGTTTTGCAGTAGCAGGTATGGTTTAGTACATAATGTATTATGTGCAAGGAAACATCCAAGTTTACAGCAAGATTTAAGTTCAATATTATTGGACAATTAATTTGACATTGACAAAGTAGCTTGTTGCATGTATCTATGCATATGTTACGTAGCAAAAATGAAATATATTTGTCCTCTCCTGACTTCCAGCTGTGCAATAAGTCACAGAAACTATTTGTATAATTCTGCAAACTAGAAGTTAAGGGACTGACAGCACTAAATCAGGTAATTTCTAGCTCTCAGTATCCATGCAGTTCTTGTGAACTGGCCATGACCTGTTGTAGGTTAACAGTGGTAGGCAGCTAAACACTACACAACACTTGCTCATGCCTCCTTACTCCGAAAGAGGGGGATAAAAACTGGGAGGGCATAAGTGAGAAAACTCAGCTTGAGATAAAGACAGCTTGAAGAGAAAAAGACAACAGAATAAGAAGCAAGTGATTCAAATTGCAGTCACTCACCATCAGCTAACTGCTGCCCAGCCAGTCACTGAACAACAGCAAACCCTGGCGAACTCCCAACCGCAGCTTTACTGCTGAGCGTATGATGGTCTGTGGCATAGCCCTTTGGTCACCTTGGGTTAGCTCTCTTGCTGTGTCTTGCTCTCTTGTCACTTGCTCTCCCAGCCTCTTTTCCACCCTCTCCTTGATGCCATTCAAACACTCCGGCAGGGGGATGGGACTAGATGATCTTTCGAGGTCCCTTCCAATCTCTAGCATACTGTGATACTGTGTGATACTCTTCAGCAACAGGTAAGGCATTGGTGTGTTACCAAAAATTTTTTGATCACAAATGCAAAACTGCACCACACACAGGCTACTGTGAAAATTAACTCCATCCCAGCCAAAATCAGTACAACTCCACACACGTGATGGTAACACCAATTAAGCAAGGGCTTTTCAGTTCTAAAATTGGAATAAGCAAAGACCTCCCTAAACAAGAGAGACAGTCTCAAGAAAATCATTACTCAAGAATTATGGCCAACTCTTTATATACTGATCTGCTTACACTAAGGTTACGCATCTGCCTACAATGTAAAAAGCTTATCAGTGAGAGATCTTTCTATTTGAAGTCAAGTCTCTGAGATGATCATTCATGCACGTATATTCAAAGCCTTGAAAGAGGGAAAACACCTTTATTTTCACTGCTGAGTTATTAAACAAGGTGGAAACTTCTAGTTACTGAAGTAATAAGTATTTTGAAGTATTTGGACAAATGAAACTGCTCCTGAGACTGCCAGAACATTTCTGCGATTCCTTCAAGCAGGGTTAATCAGGAGAACAGCTCTTCAGCCTGGTCACCAGAATCAGTTCTCAACCATTAGACGCTCTATGTGCAAGGCCCACACATTAGACTATTAGATATAATCCAGCTATCATTCTCATCCTATGAGCTACTACATCAAACTGCCTGGAATGGTCAGATATTGTTTTGTTTTTAGCAAGATAATACTAACTTTATTCAGAAGAAAGCTAAGTTTCAGGGCTTGTGGTTGCTGTGCTCCACTCAGCTTCAGCTCTGTTGTACACAAACACATACTATACACAAACACAGAAGGTATACTTTTTTTAACCTCTCAGTTTAACCTTTTCTATAGAGCCAAATTTATCACGCATTGTACATTCTTTGACAAAAGACCACGAATCTTCAGGTTCTGTTTCTGGTCCCATGTGCCTGAGGCAAACCCAGGGTTCAGAGCCAAACATGAAGCAGTGCTTTGTACACCACAATGAGCTGCACAGCTTCACACACCATGCATAATTAAGCAGCTGGCAGTAATTGAAAGTATCCCCACTTCTTTCACAGCAAGTACTTCTTTCACAATAAGTATTACTGGTTGATATATTGTAGCTACTGACACATGACAGAATAATTTTTCTGCAATCCACCTCCAACATTGAATTGCTGGAACTTGGAGTTGTCTGTGGCCTAGAGGGAGACATTGTGGTAGAGTTTCATTTGCTGTTGTTGAAGGCAAGAGGTTTATAAAAGTTCATGAAATACAGCTAATAAAGGCTGCAGAGGATCTGAATCTCAGAAGCCTCAACACAAACAGCTATTGTTATTTAACAGGGCAGCAAAAGCATGAGTCTCACCAAGCTATCATACCATAGGAAATATTTAATATTTGCATTGGAACTACTACTTTTCTGTCATTTAACTGCAACAGCTATTACATTTCTTTTTTTTTTTTGTTGCTGTTTTATACAAGTCAGGCATAGCAGTCTTATAGAACAGAGACACTGAAATTAAGACTACAGACCAAAGTTACCCAGGATTTTCATGTCTAAAGAGACTGTCTCAAGTAGTCCACTGTAAGCGGCAAGGAGAAGCAGACAGGCCAACCCAATATGGGCGATAAGCAACTTCTACCTTATTTGTGACGCAGTTCACACATATATAGGAGTGGTATTCAGCCACTTTTTCTTGGCATAACAGTATTGGTTAGCCCCCACAGCTTCCTCCACATTCTCCTCCCATGTCCGGTCTCTGGCTACCTGTGGGGGCCACCCCCTGCCTTGCTTGCACAGTCCTCCAGAACTCTATGGTCCTGCTCTTAGAGTCATTCTGCAACAATTCCCCCCTTTTTCTTTGTGCAAGCAAGGCATTATGGGTTATTCTGTTCACCTGTTTTATCACACAACTATAAACAAGTCTAATAGCTACGATGATTAGCCTAACAATGATACATAAGTGCAATACTTTTAAACCGAAGTGTTTGACTCAACCTGTAATGTCCCGTGAAGACAACCATCTAGTTATTCTTAGGATATTGCTCATTTACTATTGCTGGGTAAGCTGAGCCAGGGTTCTCAGCTGTGAGTGCATCGAATTAACATAATCAGAGAGACTCATACAACACATTCCATCAAACTCTTCACATCCATGTCCCTGTTCCAACAACAAAAGGTTCTGCAGTGTTGCATGTCTTACAGAGTCAACATTAAAACAAATCAGAAATTGCCTTCGATGTAGAATTGTCTGCTTAGCAACTCAGCAACCCAGTCTGCTTAGTTGAGCCAAGGCCCCGGCTGAAGCACTTACAGTGATTTGGCATATTATGATTGGATACATGTTTTGAAGACCCTTAGTGACTAACATATAATTGGTTAAACACAGGTGTGAGAACCTTGAAAGCTTGCCAACAGTCCACAGTTCTCATTAACTTGGTGAATTCCAGTCTCTTATCTTGCTTGCTTAAGCTTCTTCAGGCCTCTCATGGCCTTGCTGTATCTTTCAGGACTATTCAAAGTTTATGTACCAATTATGCATTCTCCTGTGAGAACACTGTCTCCACATCTTCCCCCTTTTGTTTTATCCAGTAACAAATCGCTACTACAGCAAGGCACACACACATTTACATTAGCAGAGTAACTATTACAGGGTGCAGCAGCATGTTGAAGATGCTGATGGCAGTGAAGGACTAGCCAAAGAAATTTCTTACCAGTGGAATTCTCCCCCCTCTTAATTTGTTCCATCACCTGCTTTATAACACTACCATTGTATTAAAATTTTTCTAGCTTTTGCCTTAGCATTTTCTAGCAGCTACTGCAAATTTCCATACTCTAACATCTCTTTTACAAGTGACAAATCTATACAATACAAGGTGCAGTTTCTTATTAGCAACTAGCTAGTAAATACAGGTGGTTTTATACACAAAATCACAACCTCTAATACAGCTACTTTACAAGCACACATATTCAGGATGTTACTTTCCAGTTGCCCCCAAGTGATGTTTTGCAGTTATTTGTTCTTTCTCTTCCTCCATCTCTTTCTGCTTGGGGTAATCACGGTCAGCTCCTGCAGCTGAGGCATCAGGTTTATGCATTCGTCTGTCCAGCTCATGGCAGGGCTTCACAAACTTTGCAGACAGTCGCCATGGAACTGTAGGCAGGAGGGCACAAATATACCCCCTCCCCCAGGTTATCAGTTCTTCAGAAGTAGACAGGTTAAAGTTAAATGTAACATCATTACTCTCTCTCAACCCCCTCTTTTTTTTTTTTTTTTTTTTGTCTCTGCAAAAGCTATCATTATTCCCACTACAGTTCCACGTACAGAATGTGGCACAAGGACCCTGTGGAGACTAACAGCAAACCAGCTCCGAGAAGCATCATTGCAGTGTGAGGTGGCAGGCTCAACCTTAGCAGGCACCCCGCAGAGGCTCTGCCTCACCCACATCGTATGAGGCTTGGGCTTTTATACTGACCAAAATGCACACTCATTCCGACACAGGTGGCCAGCCTGTGCTGGAAGAAGTGGCCAGCAGTATCTACAGAGGTCTCCAAGGGTTGATAGAAACCTGGACATACTTATATTTACCAACTTCTAGTACATGAGTATCACAGAGAAACTGTATGGGCTCCCCCTGTCAATTGCAAGAAAAAAATCATATACAGCTTGAGTATAAGAGGATTTTAACGCATATGTGGTCACTGTTTGTCAGGCCTCCTTAACTATTTTGAGATCAAGAGCTTCCCACTCTTTAGCCCCCTGCTGTGTAGTAAACACAGGATATGCAAAGATGCCCATTGCAGAAAATTCCCCAGTAATGTTCACCTCTTTGATTATCCATTGTTACAACTGAGCGTCTCCAGGGCCAGTAAGTCTGAGCAGACCCACCCGGGAGACAAAAGAGTCAGGGTCTGGAAGCAGAGGATATAAATCTAGCTCGGATTCAGGGGACTCGGGGGCTGATCCTGCGCCGAACTCGGGGTCTCCGTTGCTCGCAGCTGTGTCTTTCTTATCAGATGTATCTCGTTCGGTATGTAGCCATCTGCAGACGTGGCTCCTCCGTGACTGAGTTAAAAATTTTTTCACTCTAAGGCATAGTGGGTTGGAAAGGCTCGCGGTTCCTTTAAATCTCCCGCTCGCGCATGATCACTATTTTCTACTGCGTGCTTCACAGTGGCGCCGCAATCGATCCGGCGCCGAGGCACCGCCTTTTTTCTTTCGGATTTCTCGACATTTATCATGCGTATACCTTCTAATATACTTTCTCTGTCCTTTTCAAAGTCCCTACTTTCGGAACTGGGGTGGTGGAGGAGCAGGGGGTTACACCTCCTCCGCGGCACCTTCTGATGGAGGGGGAGAAAAAGAAGGGGGGGGTGCGGGGTGGGGGGGGTGCGGGGTGGGGGGGTGGGAAACCCTGTGCTCCCGCGAGTTCGGGGGGGGGGAACAAGTTGTAATCTTCCCCCGGTTTCAACCGACCGGGGACGTCTGTTCCTAGTTTCTCCTTTGCTACCGCGGCAGTTTTCTTTTCTGCCTTGTATCTTTTTATACAGTTCATTACTTCCCTCCGTGGTTTACCGAGTTTCTTTGCCTTTTTATAATCATTAAGCACTGAGTCAAATAGTTCATCACCAAACTTTCGCCACTCACTCTCCTCAAATATTGTATTAGGATCTGCAAAAAATATCTCTTAGCCTTCCCCAGCCACTAGACCTGCTAGCTGCTTTAGAGTTTAGGCTCAATTCCCCGCTTTTATAAAAAGCACTGTAAAAAGTTCAGGGCTCAGTTCCCCGCTTTTATAAGAAGCACTGTAATAAGTCCAGGGCTACCTCTCGGTCCATTTTCATGGCCAGCCTTTTCCGGATCGTCTTCTTCTGGGTCGTCCTGTAACCTCGGTCTCCGGATCGGCCTCCCGACGCAGCAGTGTCTGGTT